GCTTTACACAGGTGTGTCATGTGTTGAGGTCAGAGCTTCACAGAGTCTGTGGAACCCTGATGTATACAGGCAATCTGAAACACAAAGTTTGATGACAAATTGCAGCATTTCACCCTCATCATAGCAAGTTAGCCTTCAGATACATGGCTGACAATCAGAGTGTATTTTCATACTGAAGTAATCTAAGTGTACTGAAGGTTTCATAGGTACAAGCACTTCATAACCAAATGTAGAATTTGAAATTCTACATTTGGTGAAAGTAAGTACAGAAAGTACATATTTTTAGCTTTGAAATGAGGTATTGCATTCTACATTTCATCAAAGATTGGTGCCTGAAACTCTCTGATTTATACTGCAAACAATATAGTGCATTTAAGCAGACCTGGTAGTAATTAAGTTTTGATTTGCAGGGGATGATTTTAAAAGTTCTACTTTTGTTATGTAAACTGATGTTTAATTTTCAGCAGAAGAGAACTATTATTATTAAAAATGGTGTGTTTTTATGTCTAGGCACATGCATAACAATTTTTCTTGCAGGTTTTCAGATTTAAAGTTGTTTTTGAAGAAGTGGTGCTGACAATGTCAGCTTTTCAGTATATTTTGTCATTAGAAAATAGTTTTCCATGTTGGCCACTCGGCGGCAGGCTCCTAAAACTAACCTTCATAACCTTTGAGTTGTCTGTAGTATTGGGGGGAGGGTCAGTTGAACCTGCTCTGAACCTCACCTATTAACACCTCATACAGTCTTCCCTTAGTGCTTGCATTGTAATGCTGAGATTCTTTTCATCAGCAGAAGAAGCAGTGAAACTAATTTTGATGCACACCTACTTTGCTTAGACATGTTTTTCCTCAGTCTTTTCAAGGCCTTCTGAACCTTATAATTTGACAATTTGAAACAAAACTGTGTAAACTGCTGCAATTTCTTAATTTTGAACACATAATTTGCTGAAACAGCTCCACCCAGGAACAAAACAGTCCATATGTGACCTTCAGATGGTGAATTGGAACTAGAAAACTCCAGTAGTTTTTTTCACAATTCACAATGTTGAAATGTGGGTAAAATCAGCACATGTGGTGAAATTACCCACATTTCAACCACATGGCCTTACTGCAGC